CAATTGGAGAACAGCACACAAAAAAAGCACACACTGTTAAACCATTTGTCACATTATTATTATTTCCATCCCTTATTTGTTAGTTTTTTCTACTCTATTTTATTCTTGTCATTATGGTTCTGAAAGGAGTAGTTTTGGGACATAAAGACATTTGCTCTCTTTCCAAGAGATCGATGAGAAGATCGATTCCACTGTCATGCCTGTACAGTTAGCTTAGCATAAACCAGCTCTGGGCAAAGGTAACAAAATATGCCCAAAGCACTTCTAAAGCTGACTAATTAACACATTACATCTTGTTTGTTTAATGCGTTCAAAACTCACAGCATTTGCGGGGGAAGCCGAGCTAACTGTTTCCCCTGTTTCCAGTCTTTATGCTAAGCTAATTGACTACTACAAAATGTTTTGAACAGATAATGGTATCAATCATCTCATCTAATTCATGTCAAAATGAACCGTATTTTCTAAAATGCTGAACTATTCCTTACATTTATTTATTTTTTATTAGGGGTTTAATGTGGTTATTCAGTGGGTGACTGGGTAAAGTCTTTGTATTATACCTCTATGATTGCTGTATCATTAAATATATTGTACAAGTTTATACTAAAGTTACTTGTGTGAACAAAGGGCTGAATGCACAGTAGGGGGTGGGTTGTCTTTTTGAGAGCTCCAATTAAGGCTCCGCTCCACTGGTGGATGACTCACTAATAAATGCAGTGGACAGCTGTGAGTCTGACAGCTTGTTTGAGATGCTGCCAAACAAGCTTTTAGACATATTCTGCAAGGTTATAAAGTGATTCATGATCAATCACATGAGTGGTTTTAACCCTGCCGCTCCTGATACAGAAACTCTTGAGAGGTCCTTTGTTCTGATCCACTGCTGTATTCAGCATTTTGCACAAGTCTGAGGTACTTCTACTCCACTACAACTCAAAATTCATTCTCTACATTTAACCCATCCCTCAATGGAAGTGAAGTATTAGGTGTTCCTTTATGTGAAAATTAAACTTCATCAACTTAATAAAAAAACACCTTGGATTAGCTGTTTTTCTGCGCTCATGAAAAATGACTTTTTAGACGAACATATGATGATCTTATAATGAATATCATAAATATGACACGTTGCTGTAGATTAAACTACCCAACAGTATATAAGTAATTAAAACAGCTCAACTTTAAACAGTACAGAAGTAAAATGTAACGTACACACTAATGCAGCAGTAATATTAATCCAGAAACATCGGATAAATTAGTAAAGCACTGATGTCACACATTTTACTGCTTGTGCTATGAGTAGTTTTACTTCAGTAAAGGATCTGAATACTTCCACTACTGCTGATTACCCTTTGGAGTTTAGTTTGTCTCTTTTTCTCTTCTCTTGTTACAATAAAGATTTCTGTTGAACGGCTGGGGGAACATGGCAGGTGTCTGGAAACTTATGAGTGCTGCATAGAGAGATCAAGAACCACACTTTGTCTTTGAGTGTGTCTTCCCCTCCTCTGACTGTGTCTCGGGGGGTTGACTGTCCTTCACAACTACTGAGCTGAGGGAGTTCACCACCAGCAGGAAGAGAACTCTATATTATATAGAGTCACACTTTATATGTGACAGGTTTGAAGGCGCCAACGTGGTGGTTTGGTCTGGTACACATAGATCCTTGTGTTAGGGAGGGCGTTCCTTTTGCACACACAGAAAGAGACCGTTAACGGGCAGAACTGCTGTTCACACCTTTTGACAGATGATTCTGTGGTCGCTATGGCTAAATTTACTGCACTTGTTTATTTCTGGACTTTAGCACAGTGCAAAGAAAAAGACTACTCTGATTAACCTGCTTCTTAGAAGACAAGAAGGAACAGATCGGGGGTCATGGGTTAGTTGACCCGGAGTCTTGATTGCACTGCTTGCAGCCCATATTAGACTGGAATTTAATCATTTTGAATTGACTGACATCACGACACTGTTAAGGATAAGGAAGTGCATTGAACAAGTTCTGAGTTCAAGGGAAGACGCTAGCATTTCATTTTTGACTTACTTTTTATTGCCAAGTTTGTGATTTGTTGTTGTTTAATGTAAATATATTTATGTGATTGAACAATAAAGTTTCTGATATAAACTTCCTCTATCTTCTGTTTATGCCTGCTACTTCTTCTGCACACAACCACCCTCCTTATCTCAGATGGCCTTTATCATGTGTTTGTGCTGTTTCTCCAGCTCCCATCTTTAGGGAATTCTCGATAAGCAATCTAACAGTCCTTTTTTCCCGGACAGTCTTTAGCGGTCCTTTCATGTCAAAGAATCTTTGGCATGGGAAATTCAACAATAAAATAAAAACACATTTTAATAATCAAACATGATTGAGTATCATTTTCTAACATCTCAATTGTAACTTATTGTTGTATCATTGGTAAAAAAAATAATTACATTTATTTATAGATATAGATCAGTTATAAGCTATTTATAAGGTTGTGAAAATCTCTCTGGTAGGAGTTTACTGTTTTCATTTGGCAATAATGCAGTAATAAATGCTAATAACGTCTAAATAAATGCCTTTTGGTTTCACATTAAGATGTAAAATCTGCAGTTGCAAATGTTAGTAAGCTGATAATGTATGGATTTTGGTCCAAGTAACGGTCCAACTACTCAAAGGGATTTTTCACCTTCCAACAACAAAGTTGTTCTTATATGGCTAATACCAGTGGTGGAATGTACTACTAAGTACACTTACGCAACACAAATTTAAGCATTTTGTAATTTACTTTTATTTTTAATGCCACTTTCTACAGCTCAACAAGAATTCAGATAGTAATATTGTACTTTTCACTCCACTACATTTATTTGACAGCTAAAGTTACTAGTTACCTTGCAAATTAAGGTAAAAACATATGAAGAGCTTATAAAATATGATGATTTGTTGTAAATTAAGCTACTCAAATGAACAGCTGAAACATTAAGTCGATTAATCGAACGACAGAAAGTTAACTCGCAATTATTTTGATATCATTTTTCATGTAAAAACATTTCATGGGATCAGCTTCTCAAATGTGAAGATTTGTTGCTTTTCCTTTTAATTATTTTCATTTATTTATAATCATATATCATTTTGACGTTTGTGCTATTGGTAGGACAAAAAAATCTATTAATTTATTAATTCACAGTGAAAATAATCATTACTTGCAGTCTGATACAAAATTGTTAAAAATGTGCTCCACCTCGACCAGCTACCACAGTAAAATTCTTTTACATGCTTTAGCTTTTACATTAATGCACGGGTAATAATAATCTAATGATATATATATATTAGTATAGCAGTCACAGGGGACATTTTTCTGTATTGTGTACTTTTATGTACACATGAGTACCTTTTTCTGATAATAATTACATACATTTACTTTAGTAACATGCATGACTTTTCCTTGTAACATATATTTTTACTTTTAAATGATTCATTAAACATTCATAAAGCCATTAGTTACAACTCATGAACTTATACAACATTTATCAGCTACGAGGCAACTTTGCTTTCACAATACACAAGCTTAATGACAAATATAAGACAAGGCCAAAGCCCTCAAGAAACTGTGCACACGAGTGTATTTATGATATATTGTCTACATGAGCAATTCAGTTCACTATCAGTGAGACAGACGGATCCAAAGCTGTGATGACAGGAGGAAGTGACAGTTTCATTGATACTTTATTGGCTATGGTTCCAAACAATACTTCTGATCCTCTTATGCTCGTCAGCTCAGGCAGCTCCACGACCTACAACACAAAATGCACTCATGAAGACAGTTGCATAATAAAAGCTGTCCTGCCACCACGTGAGGGAGGCTTACTCACTACAGTAAACCCTCCCAGGTGTGGGTTACTCTCAGTCATAATCTGATATTTCAATTGATTCTCAAAGCAATATTTGTCTCTAAGGGGGTATTCAGTTGGTGGAGGCAGAGAGGAGATCAGGAAGGGTTACAGCAAAAAAAACATGCTGTTAACTTTTCCAAACAATCGCACAACATACATTATAACAAAGATTTCAGGGAGTAATATGAGCGGAGCCTGCAGACTTTAAGACCTTTAATGTAACATCTGAGTGTTAATGTTCCTATAAATCAATATGAACCAATAATTTTACCTCCCTGCACCCTGGACTGTAACTTCTTTCAAGTCATTACACCTTTATAGGCACAAATGCATTCTGCACCATTTGCAGTTTATGTAGCTAAGAGCATTTATTAGACAGCCTCATTCTTCAGCAGGTGAAGTGCTGCTTTGTGCAGAGCTGGCAAAAGCAATTTGGTTTTTTTTTACTGCCAGTACTGTTACTATGACAGTGGTGGAAAGTACTTCAACTCAATTTCACTCCACTACATATATTTGTTAACTTCAGTCACTTTTCAGATTCAGATTAAAAAATAAAACTGACAAATAAATAATGATGTATTGTTACAGGTTAGGATACAAATTTATTGATTTGTTTTCTCTTTTTTTGAGGTTCAAAATTTATTCTTGAACTAGGAAAACAGTTGAGAAAACCATATGACCACAGGGACCATTTATCAGCCGCTCTGGAGCTTTTCATCAGGAGATGAGAAGAAGTCTCACAAGAAGTGCTCACAAAAATAGTTCAATGACAACATCATGTGATGTGATTGAAAGCTCTGGATAAGCTGATAAATTATCCTTGTGTGTGGTGAGACTGATCTCTCAACACATTAGTAGGCTAGTAGTTTAACAAACTAGTTTTTATTTGAAATATTGTATATTTTATTTTAATTAATTTTACTTTTATCCCTCGATTCTATGAAAATTCTTATTAATAATAACACTGCTGTGCATATTGCTACTATTTTAATGAGGTGTAAACAATAATGAATTGCTGTTTTTGAGTTTACAATACTTTTTATGTTTAGGTGTGTGTGTGTGCGTTTATGTGTGTGTGTGTGTGTGTGTGTGTGTGTCAGGCTACAGCTGAGCCCCGTTAGGAGGAGTCTGTGTCGCGAGGAGGCGGTGTGATGCGCCTCTCTGTGCGCTCACTGGCTGCTCAGCCTTTTACTGTGTGAGAAGCCCGTTCAGAGGTCGGACTGCCGGGACCGATCATCGGCCAGCGGGCAACAGAAGCGCAGAGTGCCGACTCACAGCTGCACCGGAGACCAGGACCCGAACCGGGAGAAGTCGGAGGAGACTTTACGCACGGATCTGAGATATGGAATGCATTGAAAGGACTCCGACACTGTGAAAGTTTGCATCTCGGATATGGAGACACGCATGAAAAGACAATTAATCTTAATAAAGTCAACCATCCTTCTCGCCTGGGTCTGAGGTGCAGCGGAGGATGACACCTGCACCCCGCCTGGCGAGGACCGACGCGTTGTTCCAGACTTGGCATCTCTGAAGAGTGGGTCAAAGCGTCTGCGAAAGTGACTTTCTGCTTTAATACTGCAGACAGATCAACCGTCGCTGCCATCCCGAGTTATCGGCTGTGGCTGCAGAAACAGCGCATTTGTTGCGCCCTTTTACATGTTTGCACCATCTCGGACTGCGGCAGAAAATCATCTCGTGCCCCGACACCTCGTACACACAGGTGAGCATCAGAGCAGCTTTGGAGATACCACTAATGTAATCGTTTTAAACAAAAAACAAAAACAAACGGAAACTATATTGTCTATTTAACTTGGCTTAATGCATTTATGTCATTAAGAAAAAGATAAGATAAGATCATAGATTAAATAAAGCTGTTCATTAACCCCCCTTAAAATCCAGTTTTACCCTTTAGGTCGGCTCTGTCTGTATAAGCTTGTTCCACCTCTCTATGCAGCTGTATGTTGTTGACTGACTGAAATATTCAAACACAAGACTGCATATTTGTTTTAGCATCAATGGTCAGCATGATGTTTGGAAGTGTTGGGATCTTCTCTAGAATTTAATATAAAGTGAAGTAGGTTTTAAATGGCTGCACATTAGTTTATATTGGCTGGGGAGGCTGTGGGTTGAAGAGATTAATGTTAATAAGGTGCCTGCAGTATGTGGTTCAAAATGGGATTATATGTTACTGTGTGCATTTGTTTTACCGTCCATTTGTTTAAATTTGTTCTCCTTCTGTGTTTTAAGGTAATGTCTCTGCAGCCACAGTCATTTAAAGTCCATCGTTCAGCTCACCTTGGCTTGTCTGCACCGCTCATCTATTAATGCTGTTTCGCATTTGCTGGATATTAAGAAATAAAAGAGAACTTTGCCTCAAACGCGTCCAACAGCAGTAAGGCAGAATAATCTGTGGAGTACTGACTCACCATGGGCACTGTACTATCACTGTCTCCCGGCTCTCGGAAATCAGGCTACTATGACAACCGGCCAGGCTCGCTCAGCCACTACCCGAGCCTCAGCAGCCGCTCTCTCAACAGCCAGAAAGACCGCGGGCTGAAAAGGGGTCAGTCCATCTTCCTCCCAGCACTCACGTGGAAGCGACTGGTGGCCTCTACGAAGAAGAAGGGCAACTCCAAGAAAGGCTCCGGTGGTCCAGTGGCCCTCGGGGACCCTCTCAACAACAACAACATCAACATCTACCAAAAGGACCCTGTGTTGCACCTCAACCGCGAGAATGTGAAGAAGTCCCTGTCGTGCGCCAACCTGTCCAGCTACGATGGTCCAGCAGGACTGGGGCTGGGGCTGGGGCTGGGCTACGGCCTGGGGATGGGGATGGGCCAGGGCCATGGATGTGGCTACAGCAAGTCCCAACAGCTTTCCTCTGTGAAGAAAGTTCCCCAAGGGACAGTGACCTCGTCCCCAAAGCGTGTTATTGTCCAGGCCTCCACCAGCGAGCTCCTGCGCTGTCTGGGGGAGTTCCTGTGCTGTCGCTGCTACCGTCTGAAGCATCTGTCTCCGGCTGACCCGGTGCTCTGGCTGCGGGCTGTGGACCGATCCCTGCTGCTGCAGGGCTGGCAGGACCAGGCCTTTGTCACACCGGCCAACGTGGTCTTTGTCTACATGCTATGCCGAGACGTCGTGGACGGCGACCTTGTAGCGTCGGAACACGAGCTGCAAGCCATCCTGCTCACCTGCCTCTACCTGTCCTACTCCTACATGGGCAACGAGATCTCGTACCCGCTCAAGCCCTTTCTGGTTGAGGCGGGTAAGGAGGCCTTCTGGGACCGTTGCCTCGCCATCATCGATGCCACCAGCTCCAAGATGCTGCGCATCAACGCAGACCCGCACTTTTTCACACAAGTATTTGCAGAACTCAAGAGTGAAGGCGGTTGTGGCCCTCAGGACTATAGTCGGGTGCTGGACCGGTGAGAGTCTGAGCACCGATCCTTGCTGACCGCATGCCTTTTTGTACACTCATGCGCATGTATACTTGCTCACAGACACACATTTGTCTCACACAGAATCCTTTCCCCTTTTTCTTCTTCTGCAGCTCTGCAGCAGCAATGAATCTATATTGACAGAGCTATGTAGACATTTTTAATCACTCCATCTGTGTGTGTGTTGCCATTGCCATCCACAGATAGAAATAAGGAATTAAAAAATGTTCCCCCTGAGATTTTCTCTGATAATTGGCTAACAGAGGCTCACAGTTGTGTTTTTCCCCCCCCTGGAATATCCACCTGAGTTTACTTGAATTGAGGAACCATTTGGTCCGCCTCTCCCATCTGTCTTCATGTGTCTGGTTCCAGTCGCCCCCCTCGATCTGCACACCCAGGCATCCTCACCCTCCTATCTGAATGTGGTCAATCAGTGTGCACAGGACAACAACATCACTCACAACTCATTACTCACAATGAGTTGACTCACAGAAGATCAAAATAGGTAGTTATATTTTCCTGCACAATACAAGCAGACATCTTGACAAGGAAAGTGACTCAGACTGATGGGAACAGCTGAGAGGTTCATATAAGGTCTCACTGGTCCTGCTGTGCGCTGTGTATTCACTAAAGTGAAACGAACAGGCAGTGTTTTGTGGAGCCTTTTGAGGGTCGTCTGGCCTGAGGGGACAGATGCCGTTTCTTATCTTTATCCACTCAGACCTGCCAGTGCACTATTGTTTCTACTTAATCTTATCTCAGGAGTGTTTCCTGGTGGAAGCAGAACATGGATTTTAGACTGACATGTTGAGTGCATGCATGGCCATATGTGTGTGTGTGTAGACATTGTGCAGTGGACGGCAGCCAGGGTCATCAGCTGTTTACTCCATCCTTTGTTCCCTGCGTCTTGTTGACAGGGCACCCACAGCCGTGGTATTAATGAGATTAGCAGATTACTGCAGTCCCTCCTCTCTCTCAACCTCTGCCCCCTTCTTGTCCACTCTGCAACCCTGCAGAGTTTCAGTGGCTAATCCAGGCGAGGCTGGACTGAACACACACATTTGTACACCTTGTCTTGTGTGTGCTTTATTCTCCTATGTGCGTGAACAAAATGCTGTGTGGCACACGTGCAGCTCATGGTCAAAATTAAACCTCTCTGAGACAGATCTAGGCAGGAATGACAGATGAATGCTTTTGCTGTTGAAGGGGTTTGTTGTTGTTGTTGCTTCTGAGTTTGGCCCACTTTCTCGTCAGTCACCTGCGCATCCTCATCTGCCATCAAGAGGCTTGTTTTCTCTCTTGTCCTTCCCTCAACTCCTGTCTCTTGCTAAATTATTCCCTTCAATGAAGCACTGGCATTTGTGCTTCAGTGGCTCTGTTTCCCATGTGCTTTAGTGTGTGTTTGTGCATGTCAGAGGTGGTCACAGATGAGCCTGAGGTTTATCGCTCTTGCACTGAAAAATATATGGATTTTTTTTAAAAGCAGAACCGATTTAAATATATTTTTGAGCTTGATTTTACATTCCATAGCCATCCAAAGTTGTTTAGATTCCTGCTGCTAGAGGTTTGTAGTTCATCTTTCAGCTCAGAAAAAGCTTAGTGAGAGTAGAAATGGGGGAAAGCAAAGCTTAACTACAGAGTGCATGTGCTGCAAATGGTATATTTAAATTCAGATTTTTACTTCCTTTAATTAAAATAGACACATGTACTGATTTCGGTATAAAAGCATACAATAGTGAGCCCTACCCATGTTATAGAACAGTGGATGCTAATCTTTTTTTTTGTAACCCCTTAAAATGAAACAGTATCTCCCTGCAACCCCTTATTGTAGGTTGCATTTGTTGTTACTAGTTCATCAAAAGAGCAATTTCATCCTTGTTTTATATGATCCATTTCAGATTTGTGAAAACAAGAAAAAAACCCCAAAAATTACCAAACACTTGTTGTTTTTTTCTGCTTTCCTTCTCTGTTAATCATCTAAAATTTATCTTGTGGTTGGGAACCACTGCTTTACAAAAGGTGGCTGTTGGTTGAAGATGCTGCCTTAAACCTAAAAACATGGATGCTTGACTTCCACCAAGATGTGTTTCCCACAGTAGCATGTGGTAAAGCCTTAATCTTATTGTCTTCAGGCGTCTTGAGGTTTTGGTGCTCCACTACCCTCCCCCAAGTGGTAGTTGCTCTTACACACTCACCAGCAAGGTCATGTGATAAACAAGCATCCCTATAAGATTCGACCTTTACCCACATGTGCAAATAAACACACTCTGGTTCACATCTTGGGTAATCCGGTCCTAATCCTCCTACCCAATCAAATAGAGAGAGGGAGCGAGAGATGAAAACATGGGGAAATAAGTAAAAGGTTCAGAATCCAATGTGATTTGGTGTCACACTTCTTGTACACTGTTGGCCCTGGGCTCAGCCTTCAAATCCTGCTCTAACAAACTGGAGGCCTCAGAGACCCAAAGCTCAGCCCGGCTGCCTATTCCAGCTCACCCAGATCAAGCCTGCCTCCCTACCCGCCTGAGGGATCTCACATGAGCTCACACCAGAGAGGAGCGACGGCAGTGATTCACGCTGGAGCTTTGACTGGCAGCCATTTTGGGCTCGTTGTTGCTGGTCAGTGCAGCTCTCTTTCTGGCCTGGCCCCAGCTTTGACAAGGACAGTTGTGTCTTGACTCCCCCCCCCCCCCCCCCCCCCCAGCCCCATTTCCATACACACTCAGCTGTTGTTCCCTGCCTGTTTGATTAGATTTGACACCCCACACCCGCCAGCCATTGTCAGGACGAGGAAGGGCAGAATGGGGCCGTTTGTTGGCATCGGGTTGGTTGTGTTTGTGCGTGTATGTGGGTCAAAGTTAAGGGCAACATCTGCTTCCACCATCAGTCTCCTGTAGACCTGGACATAAATTAAATCAGAAGATACATGTTCAAGTGATGCTGATATAAACTATTACCCTGACAAATAGGGAAAAATCTGCTGCAGGTTTGCTTTAGCAGCATGTTGTGACTCACCTCTCTCACATTTGGTTTGTTCTTCATGCACATTTATGGAACAGACACAGAGGAACCATTTTCATTTAAGCCTAATTGAGCATTTAAACAATTTGTCAAATGTAACTAATGTAAAGGCAACTGTCCCCTCTTTCAGAACCTCCGTGCAATCAGTCACCGAGCTGGATCACGTAGCTGGTTTTCACATAGTGGACCGGCTTCCAAGCCAATTAAACTCGCATCTCAACTGGAGCTCTAATTCTGTTCATCCAATCAAACCTTTTGGCATGAGTCCTGAGCTCTTCACCTGACTGACAGCAAACAGATACATGATGCCTGTGACATCTCTGTGGATAATTTATGACACTTGTTATGTAGAAACTGATTGACTACAGGTATTTTAAGACGACTAAACAGGACATTTAATGGAAACTGGACCTTCATCTGGGACTTTGACAACTCTGATTTGGAAACTTTTGGGTTTATGTGAACAATGTGATAAAAAATGTAATGTATTAGTCTGGTGTTATTCTATATTTTTGTCATTGTCAACAAGTACCCTGCATTAAACCTTGTCGGTTCAGCCCAATTGCTCTTACTAAAGACTAAACTATTAAAAAAACAAATCATGAATACACATGAATATACTTCTAATTTTAAAAAAGGCTAAGACTTCCCTAAATAAATTGGGCACTGTAGCTTTTAGCAAACCTTCCTCACATAGGAGTAAAAAGTGCATTTGTTGGGGACTATTTTGAATGAATACACATTTAGTGCTCTCAGTATTTACAGCAGCAGGATGGTGTATGTAGGAAAACTATACTGTGCCCCACCTTTAATAGTTTTTAGACAAGAATTGAGGTCTTAGGCACATCGGAATAAGATACATCAGGCTTTGGACACACTGATAAAACTTGTTTGTCAATCAGTTCCTTGTTGGTTATGTTCTTTTGTTGACAATGAGACAAATATGGCATATCACAATACGTTTCCTTTAAGTCACCACAGCTCTATGAGTTGTGTAATTTCAGTGTGCTGCTGCTGCTGCTGCTGTAGATATGATGTGAGATTTCAATAGCACACCTTAGACTGACGATGTACATATGTAGGTGTGTAACAAAAAGAGCTGTTAAGAATGAAAAAAATGAACAAAAAGAAATAGTCTTGCTGTGTAGTAGCATGCATGCCAGCCAGGTAGTTTAGAAATGTTTCTTTCTTTCTTTTACTTTTTTTTTTACTTCTGCTTTTTGTTTGATTTTTATATGCAATGTTTTAAATGAAAGATTATTTCTTTGGTAACTTAAAACTGGATCTCATTGGAGCGTTCCTTTATAGGAAACATGATGTCAACAGTGTTAAAGTCTCTTATTAGTGCAGATGTAACTATCATCATTATGTTGGTCTGTTCATGTTTAGAAACAATAGAGACAAAAAATTATTAGAATAATCGACACTCATTTTCTGTCCTGAAATAGCAAGGCATGTGAATTCATACGAGCTATGACAGAATTATAACTTACTTAACATCCTTTATTTTAAACGTTGCTGTCTCATACCAGACTTCATTTGTCAATTTGCTAAATTAGATGTGGTCATGACGCGTCGTTTAACTGCAAAAAGAATCTTACACAGACTACAGTGTACATATAAAGCTGATCAAGTTAGTGGCTATCAATAGCTTTTCTCATCAATGCACCAGCTGGTGACACAAAGGCGGCCATTGTACATGTAGCGTTTGTCGCAGGCATCTCCGGCTCAGCCTGCGTCCTCCCTGATTGTAGCTTTGCCTCTTCAGCTTTTTGTCACATAAGCTTTCAAATTTCACAACTTCACATTCATCACAACACCTCGCCTGTGTTGTGTCAACACTGGACAGATGTTAATACAGAGCATAATGTATAACTGTCAAGTGTCCATCCTCCTCCCGACTGAGTTACCTTCCTGGCCATCATTGTATCTGTCACACCAAAATGAAGCAGCACATCACCTCGAGTGACTTTTGTAAAGCCACTAAAATGTGTGTGTGTGTGTGTGTGGGTGTGTGTGTGTTTGTAGCTAAAAGTAAAATACTGTTGATGGGAAAAACTTGAAGAAAAAAAATGTGACTGTTTCATTTTTCATGTTTTAATGTTTGTTTTCCTTTTTCATGACGATGATGTTGATTATTTAATAAAGTATTGAGCTGAAATCCAAATCTGGTGTTTCACATGCAGCTTTTCACACGTTTACATCTGCGAGGCTCGGACACTAAAACTGCCTTTGTTCTCCCCACAGTACACGTGATATACTCTCCGCCTGCAATCCAGCTAATTTAAGACCAGCAGTAAATTTATGTGGGACATAAAATAGCTTAATGCACAGCCACACAATAGCCCAGAACTGCAGATGGTCTTTTGACTTCCTGTCAGAGAGGGGCTGCGCTTCATTTGAGCATGTCTCTGCAGCCAATCACCACCCTCTCTGTTGCGACCACAGGTGGAAAACACTGTGATGCTTCCTCTGCTTAGCAACCTCTCAATGTGATATGGAACTTTGCGCAACCTAGAAACATGAAAGTTGCCTGCAGAGTTCAGTGAAAAACGCACACAACTGGTATTTAGCAGGCTACAGGTGGTTATAGTATTTCCTTATAAGCGTACTTGGAAGCCTAATGTACTGTTTAACACGACATGTCGTCTCATCTAACTTGCAAAACTCTGATATAAATCTCATATCTGCATTACTGACTTATTTTACACATTCTTATACGTTTGCGTCACCATGATACACGACATTGGACGAAAGGCGGGGAACACCCTGGACCAGTCACCAGTCCATCGCAGAGCCACACGTATACAAACAACACACTTAAGGACAATTTAGAGTGCAGATTCAGATTATTAATATAAAATATAGATCAACTAAATACACCGTAATATCTTACTATGGATTAAACTACCAAGCAGTATATACAGTAGAAATCAGCACCACTTGCCACAGCTGCAACATTAAAACAACTGAAGTGTCGTGCTGCTCCGTATAAAAATAAACACGTGTTTCAGAAAATGGGATTTAAGCTTATGAGGTTCACACAGCTGATAATATTCTACACATGAATAATCTGATATTCAGGTCACAGGTCTGTAAAATACCACAAGCAACGTGAATAAAAATGCAGTTTATTTTTAATTTTTCATAGATATTTAGCTTTTATCATATAACAGATGTCTGCCATAGAACTAAGACTCAAAAACTTTTCAGTCAAAGCAGCTTAATAGGAGAGGTCTGTCTGGTCTCTCTGTCTGATGGTATTGGAAAATGATTATTTATTTAAATGCCATATATAATCGGTTCACAATGCTGGAGTGTGAGGGCAACGTGGTGAAAACCATATGGCGGTGGTCGGAGCTGGGGTCAGTGTCAGAGGCTGTGGACACCCCAGAGGGCAGAGAGGTGAGGGATGGGAAGCCAGGAGGATGCTTTGATTAAAAAAAGAAGAGGATAGACATGAAGAGGCGTCGCTGCAGATGGCTGCCGCAGCCTGACTGAGTCCTTTCCAGCTTACTTCTGTCCTCTAAGGACACAAATCACCCAGCTCTCTGCCTCCCAGTGTCACACTTCTATAGTGTTTTCCCAGTGGCTTTCTGAAAGCCTCGGCTGTTGCTGTTCGCTGCCTTTTATCAGACCTCTGGGATCTAACATTCTCCAACAAAAAAACCTTCTGTTAATTCTTCCTATAGATGGTATACAGAGAAATTATCATTTCAAGTTGTGTGTTAAAAACCAGTCATCTCATCGCAAATCACTACTTAGCCTATGTTAGCTTTAAATTGAAAGCTTTAGATCTCTCCACATGTTGAAGCGATACACACAGGGCTGGATTAAGAAGTCAGAGGCCCCTGGGCACAAAGTTTTGTAGGGCCCTCACCTGCCAACCCACACACGTGCTCTGCAGCTCCCCTGTTGATAGCAGCGCCACAAATCCACCACAAAACAAAGCAACAATTCTGACCAGAATCGAGCAGAGCACTGATCACTTCTCCTCTTAGCCCAAAAAAGCCTGAAACATTCACGACCATACCAACCCTCCTGGGAGTCTGTTTTCCAATGCCCTCTCCCCGTTTCCTCGCGTGTCACAGCAGTATGTTTAATGTTACAGTAGGTGAGTGTTGAAGGCTACACTGCTGACACTGCTGTAGATTTATTTCTGAAACAGTGTGGCAGTTGTAGCGAAGGGTCCTTCATTTCTCCCTAGATCGTCATTTACTTACTGACTTACTTAAAAATTTTCTAATATCACTTACAACAAATAATGCTGCCCATTGCTAAATTAGATTAGCCAAAAAGCTAGTTAATCAGAATCAGCTTTATTGCCAGGTATGTGTACACATACGAGGAATTTGACTCAGGATTGTACATTGCTCATGATGTGCTTACTCGTACAAAAATACCATAACACAATAATCAAATAATAATAAAATAAAATCAGACACAAACTACAGTATAGACAACACTAATATACACACTATGAACAAAACAATATAGACATATTGACAAATAGTGCAGTGATCAGAGTGCAAAGGATGCAAGAGTAAACTATTCTCATTATGTACATGTTGAAGGTGGATATGATATGCAGGTACACATACAAATACATGCATACATGTACACATGGACACAGTGTGATGGAGCATAGTGCAAAGGATGCTGGAAAAAATAAATAAGACCTATGACCTTATGACCTGAGGTAAGTGTATTGGTATACAGTATATACAATATGACATAGTATGAACAGCACTGAAATAGAGAATGGTGAATGAATAAAGTAAGTGGTAACGAGTAAACAGGTGGCTGAGACAGAGTTACTTGGTTATTGCACAGGAATTGTTCCTGACACTGTGGGTCAGAAATCAGCTGTTCTTCAGAGTGATGGCTGGTGGGAAGAAACTGCTTCTGTGTCTGTTGGTTTTGGCGTACAGTGCTCTGTAGCGCCTACCAGAGGGGAGGAGCTGGAACAGGTTGTGTCCGGGGTGAGATGGATCTGCAGTGATGTTTCCTGCCCGTTTCCTGACTCTGGAAAAGTATAAGTCCTGAATGGAGGGCAAGTTGGCACCGATTATTTTTTCTGCAGTCCTGACTGTCCGTTGTAGTCTGTCCTTGTCCTTTTTGGTGGCAGATCCAAACCAGACAGTGATGGATGAGCAGAGGACAGACTTGATTATGGCTGTGTAGAAGTGGATCAGCAGCTCCTTAGACAGGTTGAGCTTCCTGAGCTGACGCTGGAAGTACATCCTCTGCTGGGCCTTCTTGATGATGGTGTCAGTGTTGGGCTCCCACTTCAGGTCCTGGGATATAGTGGAACACAGAAACCTGAAGGATTCCACAGCAGAAACAGGGCTGTTGAGTATGGTGATGGGGGGCAGAGTGGGGGGGCTCCTCCTGAAGTCCACGGTCATCTCCACAGTTTTGAGCGTGTTAAGCTCCAGGTTGTTCTGACCGCACCAGAGAGGCAGCTGATCAACCTCCCGTCTGTAGGCCGACTCATCACCGTCCCGGATGAGGCTGTTGTGTCGTCAGCGAACTTCAGGAGTTTGACAGATGGGTCTCCTGAGGTGCAGTCGGTGTAGAGGGAGAAGAGCAGTGGGGAGAGCACACACCCCTGGGGGGAGCCAGTGCTGATAGTCCGGGTGCTGGATGTGATGTTCCCCAGCCTCACCTGCTGATTCCTGTCAGTCAGGAACTTTGTGATCCACTGACAGGTGGAGGCTGGCACAGTGAGCTGGGTGAGTTTGGTGCTGAGGATGTCCGGGATGATGGTGTTGAACGCCGAGCTGAAGTCCACGAACAGGATCCTTGCATATGTCCCTGGAGAGTCGAGGTGTTGCAGGATGTGATGCAGACCCAAGTTGACAGCATCATCCACTGACCTGTTAGCCCTGTAGGCAAACTGCAGGGGGTCCAGCAGGGGGCCAGTAATGTCCTTCAGGTGGGCCAACACCAGTCATTCAAAGGACTTCATGACTACAGATGTCAGGGCAATGATGTTAATGCAATGTTTATCAGTGGATGAGCGCTAATGTCAATGAGCAGTTAAATTATAGCATTTAACTTATTCTAAATACATCTGCGAGCTGCATGTTTGTAGTTACAGTCCAAACCAGACGGGACATGTAGCCTAAACAAACACGAGCTGAACCTAACACAGCTTCCAGCCAACAAAGTTATCTAGCTTCTTTCAAATGTGCAATGGTGTGAAATCTTGTCGTAGACAGTCATGTAGTGGTTGAGAAATGGTTTCTCGTGGCTTTGGATATAATTTAGAGTGCTGATAAAGGGATAAACTAGATGTGAATATGCTACATAAAAATTGAATGAATCCATGCTAATTTTCTCTCTGCACTTTCTTGCAGCAAATATTTAACATGTGCAGTTATTTACATGTTCAGTTGTTGAGACTGTAATCTAAGGCATATTTAACATAATCCATTTAGGAAAAGGTTTTTTAGCCCACACTAAGTAGTAGTTAATACAAGAAACAGGCCTACTATTAGTGATGTGCGGATCGATCCTAAAGTATAGATATTTCTGATGCCAACGTTTCCTGCTCTAAGATCTATACTCATATAAAAGGATCGATATCTAAACTCAGTAATTTGGAGTGAGTGTGTGTTTTATCATAAGTATCTTACTGTCACCAGGATGGTCTAATTATAGGCTACTCGGTTGATAGGAACTACTTTTCCTTCCACCTGTCAGTCATGCTTGTGCTACGGCTCTGTGACGGAGCTTCTTTGAAGTGAGCCGCTGCAGCCCTTTATATTTCCCGTTATTGAATGCTGACTCTGGCTGACTGTAAAAGCAATTACGTCTGGCTGTATTTTAGCTGTGAAGGTAATAATGATGCTGTGTGTGATGTGTGTGCAAAGACAGTAAAATACTTTGGCAACACTGCAAACTTAGCTAAACATCTGAGATTAAGTAAAAATAATATGATGATGTTATGAAGCGGCAGTTCTGAGCAAGATATTTTCATTATAATTAAAGAATATGACGGTAGTTTTATGTCTTGTCATTATGCAGCTATTATTTTGAATTGTTAAGGCTACAGCCTACTCCTTACTTCTCTCATAAATACAGAAATGGGAGTAGGGAGGTCACATTAAACTAGAAATAAAATATGTAAAAAGTATTGGTATCGGTATCGGTATCGGCAAT